TTTTTTTTTTTTTTTTTTTTTTTTTTTTTAAGGTGAGAAAGCAGGATTTATTGAGAGGACAGAGAAGCTCCCACAGTGGGAGGGGACCTGAAGGGGTTGCCTCAGAGCCAGAATTTAAGCCCATGCAGTCTGGCTTTAGAGTGCTGTTAAACACTAAGCTATATTTAGAAATTTAGTTCTATACCCTCATAAAGATGAGGAAGCTTATCTGGACAGGTTAGGTGGTCTGCCCATGTTATTAAACATCAGCGAACAGTTCAACTTACAACTCTACAATTTTGCCCCCAAATGATCATGCTTATTTCTTTTCCTCCTTCAGCTTCCTCTACTTTGAATGATAGAAATACCCTTACCCTCAAGTTTGACTTACAACTAAACAGAGTAGTAGCTGTTTAATATGATTTCCAAAGTACAAGAAAGGCTTCCTATCATGTAAGACTTTCCTATCAAGCTCCCAAGCCTTTTAATCTCTTCCTTTGCATTTGGAAGCCAGTATTTATTTTCTTTTTAAATTTTTTTTAGAGATGTGTTTTGCTATGTTGCCCAGGCTGAATTAAATTCCTGGGCTCAAGTGATCCTTCTGCCTCAACCTCCCAAGTAGCTGAGACTAGGTTATGTCATTTTACCTGGCTCAGTATTTTTTAATATTCTCCTTACATAAACTTTTGGCTCAAGCTAAATTGGTCTATATTCATTCCAAAAATGTTTCTCTCATTTTCATGATATTGGCTTTTGCTCAAATTCTTCCCATCTGGCATGTTTCTCTCTGCACTTACCACATATTTGATAATCATCTGCTTAACTATCTACCACATCCAAAATACTATGAATTCTGGGAGGGCAGGGCTTGTTTGTGTCTCACTCATCTTTCCATCTCTAAGATCAAGTCACTTACAATTGGCACATTTCCCCCATCTTTCTTTCTGCCAGTCAAATTTCTCCAATCCCAGAAGACCTTGCATCTCTCTCAATCCTATTTAGCCAAAGGTAATCTCTTCACACAAATTTCCAGAGTCCTCACAGTCTGGACCATTCTCTTAGTAATTAATCATATACTGCCTCCTTACTCTCCTCATGAATTACTGTTTACATCTTGCATGTGTGTCTTTTCATCTAAACTTTAAGCTGCTTCTGAACAAGAAGAGGCTTCCACTTCTATCAATCCATTCTTAAATGCTAGGCTGGGTGCTTAAGCATAACCCGGGAAGCTTAATAAAATGCAGATTATCTCATGTTCTGAAATTTTTATTAAAATAAGTAAGGGAACTAGCTCCCAGGAATGTACCCTCTCCCTCTCCCATTCCAACTATAAGAATCTTCTATTCTGATACACAGCCAGGTTTGGTAAGCACTGCCCCACAGGCACTAAATTATTTGTACCTGGAAGGCATTCAGAATTTTTATCTGACTCTTCCTTTTTAACTCTTTCCTTAGACGTTGGTGATTTAATAAGGGAAAGACGATTTTACAGTTATAAAGAGAATCAGAACCTTAAGCATGATTATGTAAAGCTATGGTATAAATTACGAGATTAAGAATCAACATAAAAGTTCATTTGACAATAATGAATTCAACAAACCTCATCTAAGGTCCTGACATGCCATAGGTAGCGTATTAGGCCCTAAAAAGATAAAAGTGAACAAGATATTGTACCTACCCTATCACACATTATAGTACAAGGGTTAGAACTGAGGGCTTCAGAATGAGACTGCATGGTTCAAATTTGAACTTTCCCACTTATATATTAGCATAGTGATAAGCTGCTTCCTGTGCCAAGGACCTAATCAGCATCTTGTTAGACAAGTCTCTCATCTCTTTTCCATCTCTATAGGTAGCACAGAAAAAACTACATCCTTTCTGCTAGGTCACTGGTCCCAAGGTCTAGACCCTAGACCAACGGCTAGTCACAGTTATAATAAAAGATTCTCCAATCCAATACCAAGTATGTCAAAAGATCCAGTAAATATTTCATGCTCTGATATACTACTCTCAGATTACAAGGATAATATTGTGATGAATGAAATACAAGTTCATTTAAAAAGTCTATTAAATTATTTTATTCAAAACCATGAAAAATCAGGCAACTCTGTATCAAATAATGATGTCTAAATATCATAGGAGCTGTGCTTGGTGGCTCACGCCTGTAATTCCAGCACTTTGGGAGGCTGAGGCAGTAGGATCACTTGAAACCAGGAGTTCAAGACTAGCCTGGGTAACAAAGTGAGACCTCTATCTCTACAAAAATAAAATAATTGTCCAGGTGTGGTAGTGCACGCCTGCAGTCCCAGCTGCTTGGAAGGCTGAGGCAGGAGGATCACTTGAGCTCAGGAGTTTGAAGCTGCAGTGAGCTATGACCATGTGCACTCCAGCCTGAGTGATATAATGAGATCCTGTCTCAAATAAATAAATACATATATACTGTGGAGATCTGCTGAAATATTTTAACTACTATACCACTCTGAATATACAAGTATATACTAAAGACAGTACAAGTATTTTCTTTTCTCTGGCATATTGTTAAACTACTCTAACTATACTATACTCTTTTCAAATTATTTTTAATATGACTCAAAATTTTAGAAAAATGTGCTCATATACTGATGATAATGACCCCAATTTAGAACACTATGTTAAGATGATAGCTATTAAAAATCTTCTGATATCTGTTGGTAGGGGAACCCCGAAATAATGAATTCATGGTAGCCCTGGACATTATATTTCAAACAATAAAAAGAAGGAATATTTTTTCTTGGTGAAATAATAGATTTTTAAAATGTTAAACAAGGATACTCATATTTAAAATAAGGTAGGAAATCACTGCTCAGTTCAAGTGAGGGCTTTTAGTCATTACTGCCACAATAAGCTGGGTTTTGGAGTTCTATAGAGAATGCTGA